TTGCTATTATAGTTTCATTTATTACGTACTTATTTATTATTAAAAAAATTTTTTTTTTTTTTGTAATTTTATATATAATATTTTAAAATGTGTTATAGGCAGTCTAAGAAAAGTTGTGCTATATTTTTGGTGCCGTTTTCATTATTGATTATGATTTCAGTTTTTTGAGAATAAGGAATACATTTTTATTCTGATTGCCTGATTGGTTGAATATTCCTAAACTTTTTCCTGTTTGATAATTTACATTTTCATTTTTGGTGTAAACACCAAGGATAACACTCTTCTGGTGGTGATTAAGCCGTACACCAGGAAACAATCCTCTATTATTTTCCGAATAGTGTTCTACAGCTTTCTTTAACATGCACACAGGCCATATTGGACACAAATGGCTTAAACGTCTCATCCGAAAGACGGTGCGCTATCGTAACTCGCATTTTAGCCTTCCAACTGAAACTCAAGAAGAGCAGCGATGCGAATTGAACCGGGGACCTAGAGATCTCCACGGTTCAGTGCGTGGCTACCACCAGTTTATCCGACTGAGCTTAGCTGCTCACCTTACCTTTTTTCATTCCCATATGATTTTTGAGCTACTTTGGCATGTTGAATTATAATTTTCTGATGACAGCGATCTTTTAAATAGTCATTCATTTTTTCTTTTGTTAAACACTTTTCTTTCCTAAAAAAAAAAAGAAAAATAATACTTTTATTAACCAATGAGAGTACTATAGCTGTTTTATTATTTATCTCTTTTTAAAATATACATTTTCATCCCCAGCTTCCCACCCCAAGGAATGAATTCATATAGGGATTAAGAGGGGACCCTGGATATCTTCTCAATAGTAATCTTACCCTGTATTATGTCTGTTTGGCTAGAATGAACTCAAAAACACAAAACGAGGATAACCATTTGTAGAAAACTAATTAATATTTGTGGTACTGACAGGTTGCAAAATAAATCAAAGCGTTATAAAAATTGAAGAATCACATAAACAATTATTAAAAAATTATTTAGCTCTTTTCACAAGTGTTTATACACACCGTCTAAATGGTAGTAATCCATCGTCGGGCCTGGTAGGGCTACTGCCTAATGCTGTAGGTGATGGACTGGGGGCAGGACTTGGAAGCGTAGGCACTGAAGTGGCGGTCATAGATGTAATAGTGATGGGGCTGGCTGTGGCCTGTGATATCATATCCGTACTAAACAGCTTATCAGCAGCTGAGCTGTGTGTATTGTGCAGGACATGTGATGCATCTGTTTAAAAAAAAAAAAAAAAAGGT